TCTCGATCGTGTGGAGCTAGCAAGCCACAAACAAACCAGTGTCATGTCATCAACAGACACTAACTTGTCCCGTAAAACTCACGTTTTCTTTCTATTATTCTTTCCTTCCTTTCATTGAGAGTGGTGCAACGTCTCCAATTTCCCAATAAGACTAGACCACTGCATTTAATAATCAACAAAAAAAACCTCGGATAACCGCAAGTTAATTTTAGATTGCGATTTTGCCGCCCTCATTAATTTTGGGTACCATCCATGTACTTCCTCCGTTCGGAATTACTCGTTCAAGAAATGAATGTATTTAGATGTATTTTAGTTGTAGATACATCCATTTTGTGACAAGTAATTCCGAACGAAAGGAGTAGTCCCTCCGCGAACAAGTAGCAAAACAAATATGTTTGGAAACTGGTTGGCTGGGTCCACCTGAAACGTGAAGTCTAGATCTGATTGGGAGCACGCGCTTTAGTGCGTGCGAATTAGAGTTGCCAAAATGATTGTGTTTTGAGCAGGTTGAAACTTCCAAAGAAAACTTTGCAGGCCTTTTTTTTTGTTTTTTAATACAATACAGACGCATGTGCTCATATATATGTGCGTGCACTCAACACTCTTTGCAGACTATTTTTGGAACTAAAGAGGGATCCATGTGCGGGAGAACTGGAGTTTCTCGCCAGTCCATGGATTTTATGTGCAAGTAGTGGAAGAAGATTGCACATGCTATGTTCAAGCATCGTCATGGAGTTGTCTTGGTTTGTGGGTTACGTTCCTGCTTGCTGCGAGGATGCTGATGAGTGGCCCTGGATCGTGTGGTGTGGTCTCTTGATTCGGTAACGATGATAACTTCAAGAGGAGTTGGGTAGCGGCTGAACTTTAGTGGTCGGTTTCATTTGGCGGTGCTCTCATGCTCCACCATGTCTTTGTGAAGTCGGAGCTGCCAAGGAGTCTTTGCAGTGACAATTACAATGGGAAGATTGGTCGGTTCCATGGGCCTGATCAGTGTAGGCTCAATGCTTTTCTCCTGCCATGTTCGTTGCCAGAGTCTGGTCACCAATGGGGTGATCGTTTGTTTGGCATAGCCCAGCATGGGAACCGACGTC